GATTCTTTCTCCTTGTGTCTTATGTGAGTGGGACTAAGGAAAAAATAAAAGTGAGGAAAACCTGGATGCAATTAATGGAAATGAGATTCACCCCTAGACTTGCTCGGAACAAAGGTAACCTCAAAAGCTCAGTAACTGAAGACATTATGTCCCAGCCAAGAAAGTCCTGCACATAATGCCTTCATCGTGAACCACAAATGGTTTTAAACTCTGTTTTTTTTTTTTGTACAAAACAAAATTTATCTTGTCTATTCATTAGCTTTAGAAGTGCTGGTAACAGGAGTTTGCCTTGATTTGTACTAAACCATAATTTACGTAGTGTGTAGACTTAATTAATCAAGATTAATTAACTATAATTAAGATTACTCGACCTTAATTAATCTTAGTCTGTAAAAGTTTGTGTAGTCTTCATGCTAAGCTACACTAACTGGCTGCTAAATGTTAATTGGTTAGCTTAGCTTAACCCCAAGAGGGGAAAGTAGGGGAGACAGTAAGCCTGGCTGTGATGAAATGGAATAAGGTAAAAAAAACAAAAAAACAAACTAAGATAGCCAGGTCCTGATTGGAGCTCCATATTTAGTGCTCAGTGATTCTATGACAGTGATATTGGTCTCCTCGTTGAATTCTCAGCAAGGAACGTTTTATTGGAAAGTTACCATTTCACTTTCCAAAATGTTGTACTATTCCTTTACTCTTTCTGGCTATTGTTGGTGGCCCAAACACAGCACAATCACAACCATAGGACCGATCAGGTTGGCATTCACAGACATAACATTTAGCAATGCTGACAAAACCTGAATAGATAAACATGGTGCTTCTTGCTTCAAATTGCTCCAGCCACCTTTGCTGAAGTTGTTTTCAATCCTCTTCTCACTCCTGGTTCCTACGCCTACAGCATGAACTGATGGGGCAAGTCAGCAAGCGGCCAGAACCAAGCCTGCTTCGCCCATAGGCGGGGACATAACCAAATGAGCTGGCAGCCGAATACTTATTCATACAGGGCCATCAGGATCTGTCTGTTTTGGCATAGTGTGTGCATTTATAATTGGAGGAAAACTGCAATACACCATAGTGTTTGTGTGGGGCAAGAGACATCTTGCTGTGAAGGATCTGAGGCAAACTCACCTCCACATGGTGCTGTACTGTGTGTTTCAACAGGATTATTACTTTTCCTTAATCCTACACTGGCAACATCCTGGTTCTCTCCTCAAAGTGATGAAACACATCTTCTCAAAAGTTAAGATGATTGTTTGACACTTCAAATACATGATTGTCCTTGGTGTCCACAATGTCATACTGTGTATGTGTGGTCATTGTTGACGCTGCAGTAATACTGTATATATTCATCCTTAGTCTGTTTCTGACTTACAGTACTAACAGTCTAAAGCACCCAAGTTTAAATATTAGCTTCAGGCGTACTTGTATACTAAAGAGAATGGAGGCAGCAGTAATCAGCACTTCTTAAATATGAATATCTAGCCAATCCCTGACTTTGATTGCACTCTAGTGGATGACTGGAATAATTACATTCATTTTCTGAGTTTATCTTTCCTATATTTTACCATGTCTACTCAAATCACTGAGGCTGATTATTTCTGTGGGGTCTGTTGTTAAATGTACACTTTTAAGTTTATTAGTTAGGCCAACAGTAGCCCAAACTAGACAATATATATGTGTGTGTCTCCAGCTTGCTGGTTTCAGGATTCACACGAGAAGCCAGTCAGTTATTAATCAAAACATCATGAGTCCATGGCTAAATGAAGCCTGAAATATGGAGCCTCCTGAAACCAACACGGTGGCAACACGGAGAAAGGTGACGAAGAAAGCTGAGTTCTCTAAATAATATGTGTTCATCTTATACTTGTATAGCTCATTTCTGTGCTTTATGTTCACAATACTTGGCCATTCACCCTTTCGCACTCTCAAGTGCTCACACATTAACTGGACAAGTCAGGAACCCTCCCCATGACACCAGTAATTACAGGTACCTTTCTCTATGTTGCCATGTGCTGGTTTCACTTAGCCACGGAGTCATGATGTTTTGGTCAGTTACTGGCTTTTTTCCATGTTGTGATCTGGCGCTATATAGAAGGGTGCTGTTGGGGGGGTGGGGCACCCCCTGATATTTCTGCAGATAAGATTTGAAACACTGACACAGTGATATTCACATATCTTTCTCCCAGAGCCTCCAGTCCCTTCATGTACACCAGAGGGTCTCATCTTGTGATTCGGTATCAAACTGTTGTAATATATTGATGAGATGTACAAGGGTTGAATTCAGTTTATTGTTATCGGTCCTGGTGGTGTTTGTGTCTGTTTTAGCACCATGAAGATAAACGAGAACACTCTACTGGAGAGACACAAAGTTGGGTTGGTTCCTTACAATGTGAACCACGTGCCCAGGTAACGTTACCATTAACACCTGATTAGTGTTGTTACACACACGAAGCCTGTCACTTTGCTTTTTTATTTCCCTCTGCTGATATCTTTAGTGATGAGTGTTTGAATGTCATTTCTTTACTATCAATGCTTAAACATGGCAGATGGGCTTTATTTCGACTTCTAAATAAGTCTGCAACTAATAATAATGTTGAGAAAACAATCTCATCACAAGTTCCATTTAGTAGTTTTTCTGGAGCTTTTGATCGTATCGGTCTCATTTGTCTTGGAGCATCTGAAAGCTTTTTGTCCAGGCTGACACAGGGCGGAGAAATAACTTAGGACAGGTGACACATCTGACCCAGCTGTCAATACAAGCTTTTGATCCTTTGACAGTTTGAAGTCTCTTTAACTGGCACAGCAGAACCAGCTCCAGTCCTTTGGCATCTGGATACATGATCAAGTTAAAGCTGTAGAAACCTGCAGCCCCTGTCTCTTATCCACCTGTTTACACTCTTCAGGTGTCATGAACGGATGAAGCGTCCTGAGCTGTAGCATCTGACCGCCTCAGAGCCACCGAACCTGGAACAGGAGTATGACATGAAGGGGAGCTGGAGGGAAGATGATGACAGTAAGACTTCTTCTGCAGTAAATGTACACACAGAACATGCTGTTATTCATCCTCTAAAGTAGTTGTTATAAATCTGAAGGCTTGTCAGACTTGGCCTTTAGCCTTAGATTTTTTCATGTGAATAACTGGACACCTTTATTTCTCTGAAAACTAACTAAATAAAACAGAAAGAAAAAACCTTTGGTTGAACTGATCATATAGCAGTGGCTGGAAAGATGAATCTGAGAGAACGTCTTTTACTTTTGTTAACTTATTCTAAGTTAGAGTAACAAGTTTTTAACATTTTTACAATGCGTACATAAATAAGCTAACACATTGTCCAAATAACAGAAGCTTATTTAATACAACTTATTATAGGATAAAGTGAAAAATGATTCAGTGACATTTGCTTTACGAGGTCAACACTGCTTTCAAGTTCTGTCCTTATGGCTTCCAAACCATTCCTTCCAGACATTTGTACCATCATCCATCAGATTTGTTAGGTTAAAGTGTTTATTAATAACTGGTAATCATTGGATATGATATGAAAATAAGACATCATTCTTTCTGAGGTCATGCACTAGTAAAATCATTCAACTTTTACTTAAAGAAAACCTGTTTAATTTGATTTTATATTTTTTGCCAGAGTGCACATTCCTCATCTTAAATAAGCAGCGATGGGGAGATCCCAGTATAGAAGAGGAGCAGTGCATGGTGGGAGATGTCAACATGTTCCTAACGGACCCAACAGACTTCTCCTCGGCTGAGCTGGAGATCATGATAGCAGGTGATGCCCAGTGTGCTTATCTTAAAAGTCACAGTGTAGAAAATGTACAACCCTCTTGAATTACTGCCCATTTTTCTGCAATTCAGTCTTGTACCATGTTCATCATTAGTTGGAGAATCAACCTGTGGTGGAGCAGGAAAAATAAATGGAAAATCGGCATGAGAATGCAGACAGCAGTGGATGAGATTGATGCAGGTGTATAGTTTGTTGTAAGACGACTTGCAGAATAAACTACTTTTAAATTATTTGTGTGTTTGTCAGGAAAAGCAAACTTAGTGACAAATCTGATTTTTAAATATATTAGTAAAAGCTGTAGATAGCGTAGTTGTGTACATTTTTCTTTGCTTTTATCTCCTGCACTCTATTTACATTGCACTTTTTTGTATGCAGACTCAGAGATATGCACAACATATTCCTATTCCTGTACGGCCTGTATTTGTGTAAATGGTAAATAAATCTCTTGAACTTCATAAAAAATATGAGTATTTAAACCTATGTAGCAATATTTCTTTCTTGCTACACATAACAAAGTGAAAATTTGTGAGATGGCTGCATTTTTTTTTACTTGTTTTCACTGAATTATCTATTAGTCTAGCTATAAGCTATTTCCAGTACTCAGGTTGTTCCTAGTTGTTACATTTTTTAAATAACTTTTTGTGACTTGTGAAGCTAACTGGGCCAACACATCACAATGAAAACAAAGTATTACTGTAACTAATGTACCTCTCCATTCACTTTAAGGTCACAACAAAACCCAACAAACTTAAGAAAATGTAGCATTTAATGAGGACACTGTCACAGTCCCACTGATGAGTTAAAGCAAAGAAACAGTCTAGCAATAAATGGTGTACGAGTGAAAGCTGCCCCAGGCAATCTATCAAACATATAAATTGTTCCATGCTTGCGCTATAACACCGAAGTGTTGACTAAAGACCCTTCTAAGATTCATTCAGGTCCTTATAATAATATATATAATATATATATATATAATATATATTGTTTTGGTGGATTCTGTGGATCATTTTACACACATAGCTTAAAAAAAACAGACTTGAAACTAAAAATAGCCTTCAGGTCGTGGCTAACT